TAGGAGAGGGAGCAGCAGAAGCTGCTTCGTCTGTGCTGACTGCCCAGTTCGTAGTCTTTTTCCCCTTTGAGGCAGGGTCTCACTATGGAGCCCCTGGCTGTCCTGGAACTAAGTAGACCAGGCTGGCTTCAAAGTCAGAGATCCACCTGCCTCTACCTCCCTCCCACATACACACCCCGCTTCTCTCTTGTACTCCTTTTAGGTAAGCACATATGTATGCATTGCCTACTCAAAAAATAAATGAATAAAAATTCAAGCTAAAGTAATATAGGGAAATGGTAAAAACAGACAAAGATAATTTTAAACTTTTTCCTAATAAAATACTGCTTAAAAATCTTTTGGTTAAAAAAAAAAAATAGAAGTGAGGGGGTGGCCGGAGCAAGCACAGAAAACACTAGAAAACAAGGGCACACACACGGTCCCGCCCGAGCTCATCTCCTTCCCATCCTCACTTGCTCACATCTGCCCGGCAGCACCCGTATCTATCCTGACTTTGTGCCCAGGACACCTCCTGCTCTTCCTCCTCCATCCCTGCCCCCCCCCCCGCGTCTCCCCCAGCCCTCAGTCATCCGCTGCCCCCTTTCCTGTCTCTTGGCTGCCACCAAACCTGGGGCAATGCCTGGTGCTCTGCTCCACCCCAACCACGCAATGAGGCAGAGCTGACCTGTCCTTCCCCCACCTGAGCCAGAGTGTGCTTCCCAAGGCGGGGGCAACACTGCCCCCCTTCTTCACCCACCTGACGAGTGGCACTGACCCCCGCTGGAGGGGGGGGAGTGCGGACTCTGTGCTTCTCTCTTCTTCAGCCTGATGAGCTATCACTCTAGCAGAAGTCCGCACGCTCTGGGACTTGGAGCCCGGATCCTAACAGCTCTACAGCTTCTCCGGGTAGCCCGGGATGCTCATCTGGTGCCAGGAGCTGCTGCGGACACCCTGACTGCTCGAAGGCCACCGGTACCCCGAAGAAGTCCCAGGCCCACACCCAACTCCAGTTCCCAGTGTCCCCACACCTGTTTGCAACCTGGGCCGCAGCCAGCACTTTCCTTATTCAGAACTCATGGAAGTCACTAAGACTTAAGGCAGCTCTAGGTAACTGCGGCCTTTGCCTCTAAGCAGCGGACCCCAAAACCTAGCCTTCCCTACGCCCTCCACTGTCTATGTCTTACTGGCTCCAAGCCTTGCGCCACCGATTCCAGACACTTCGGTCTACTCTGCCTGCCCCTCCAGACAGTCCCGTTATTGGGGCTCCCCCCGCCCTTTCTGGCTTTCAGGAGCCTGCTCTTTCCTAACTTGACCCTCACTCAAAAGCTGTCCCTGGGTTCTGCTCAGTCCTAACTCCTGTAGGGCCTGGTCCTCTCCTCCTCCTGTCTCAGGCTGGCCACTTCCCCAGGCACCTGCACCTGGGGCTGCCTCAGCTGCCTCCCGGAACATCGCCCTTCCCAACTCCCCACACACAGAGGAGAAAGGACTATTTTTTATGTCCCACCCACAATGTTCCAGAAAAGACTTAAGGCCACAGCTCAGGCACTAAGAATGCTCCTCTTCAAACACTATAATGACCATCTTTGGGGGCACCGAACTAGAGCCCCCTCACTCCAAGAATTAAATCAGCACCTGCCCACGGAGTCTCCGGCCTGCATCCACAGGAGGACTCGAAGCACTTGAAGTCCCCCTTCACCTGGGAGAAGGCCTGTCCTCCTCTCTGCACCCAGCTCGCGGCTAGTTACAATGGAAAGCCCTTTTGTCTGCTCTGCTGGGAAACGGCCCTCACCTCCGTCATCAGGAAGTCCTCCTGTGTTGTGAGTCCACACCACAGACACATTTCCCCCACACCCACCTGCCTCCCTGCGCTGAGGGCCACCACCACCCAAGGTCATCCTGTCGTGCCCTCTGTGCCCCAGGAGGTAGGTGCCCAATATAAATGCTTCTGAGATGGATCACCGGCCTTTTGCCTGCAGCCCCCAACCCAGTGCACCCCCGGACACAGAAGGCATCCCATCCAACAAAACCCTGGCCCCCAGAGCCCAGGCCACATTCACACTCCCTGGGAAGGAGGCCTCCACCAGCCAGCTCTACCCTCTGACTGTCTCATAAGCCTACTACGCTCTCCGTGCCCTCAGGAATGCTTCTCCCGTCCCCACGTGGGCTTCAAGCACATCAAGAGCAAAGGCTGGAGATTTCTGAGCTCACGTCCTTAGGGCTGAAGAAATGCTATGCTTAAGTAACATTAATAAAATAATGGTGCTACCTGTGGCATCTTAGGTCTGAAGGCTAGAAAGAAATACTGGTGCTAGATCCCCAGTCCTTAAGATGTAGTGTCCCACATATTAAGAGCTCAAACAAGCGAACAAACAAAAGCAACAACAAAAACATCAGCTGAATGAATGAGTAAATGAATGAATGAATGAATGAATGAACAAATGAACGACCAAATCATCATTCTGTTTTAGAGGATGAGGTCTGCCCAGCCCCCTCTGCACCAGGCGCCATGGCAATCACCAGTAAACCCATAAGGGGGTAACAGGTACCTCTTCCTGGCGACACAGCACCCTCCTCTGTCCAACCCTGGGTTTCTCAACGCCCACCCCTTCCAGTTCCAAATGCAGGGTTCCATGGGAGGGTCTGGACGGCATCCAGGACTATTTATCTTCCAGGCTTTACAACAAATGGTGACAAATGGCTCTGCAGATCTACTGGGCCACGGAACAGAGCAGATGGGACTGCAATTCACACTACCAGCTTAAATTCTATCTGGTGCTGTTTCAGATGAGGGCACTTACCTAGGAACTTGATACAAAGCGGTGTTTGGGGGCGGGATTCCACCTGCAAGCCTGCCAGCTGCCCTCACTCTCCTTTATGTGCCCTGACCACGAGGCCCTAAAGTGGAGGGAGGATGGGTTTCTGGGGTGCAGAGTTGTAACCACCACCAAGCTCGGCCGCCCTGTCCTAGAGTCAGGCCTCCAGGAAAAGGGGGTCTCTACTGACAGCCGCCATGGTGGGAAGCTTGTCTCTGGGGCTGGGGGTACTGCCCAGTGGTAGGGAGCTTGGTTAGCATGTGTAAGATCCTGGTTCCAGCCAGAGAGAAGAGTGGGGGGAGGAAGGGAAGAAAGAGGAGAAAGGATGGGAGGGGAGAGGAGGGATGGGAATGCAAGGAAGGGGAAAGGGTGAGAAAGAAGGTAAGGAGGGGAGGGGAGGGGAGAGAGGGGAGGAGGAGAGGGGAGAGAAGGGGAGGGGAGGGGAGGGGAGAGAAGGGGAGGGAAGGGAAGAAAGTCCTGTTAGGAACCAAGACCAGCAGGGCTCTGAGATCTTGGATACGGGACAAGCTCACTCTCATGTATCTATTCAATGGGTAGCAGCTGAGTGCATACCATCAACAGGATGCTGGCACTGGCACTGAGTCCCGGGGACATTGATGGGCACAGTCTGCTGGCTTACAGGCCAGTTCCGCTCCCCACTTCTTGCAAACAGGCTCCAGTCTGTCGATGGCCCTCAGCATGTTGTCAGAACTGCATGCTGTTTTTCTTCAGGTCTGACCAGGATGGAGTAAGCAGAGCCAGGGACACAAGACAGCTTTGTTTGGGGGCCTCACTGCACAGCAGATGCACGCCAAGTAAAACCCTCTATCTACCCCATCCGTCTCCGCCCCACACACAGTGTGCATCTGGAGTCCCGGTCCACAGACCCAAACTGCCAGCCTTTCTCCTTCCTGGCCAATCTGTGCATCTGAGGACCTTCTTGCTTTACCATGGTACGGGTAAGGCCTGGGTATGTGGCCTGGTGGTAGAGCACTCAACCAGCATGGCGAGACTCCGGGTTTAATTCCCACGGCCACAAAGACAGACAGACACACAGAGACACACATCCTCAGATTAGTGCAATCCCTACTTTCATCCAACTCACTAGGAAAATGCAGTTAAGGGCAGAATCCCCAACACGCCAAGAAAAGGTTCTGAAAACACACTCTTTCTCTGTAGTCTTCAAGGTCTTCCTGTATTTCGAAGACATTATCACTAATGCTCTCTGCACTGGGCTCCATCAATCCACCCCACCAAACACTGCCAGACAGGTCTGCCCGTGGCTGGCCACACCATTCCATTCTACTTGGCCACTGAGGACACTTGCGTGGCTAGGGGCAAAACTGCAGTCACAGACGGGGTGTGAGGTCTGCTGGATGAGAGGGGACATGGGAAGCAGCAGGGGAGAGTGGACAGACACGGGAGAGGTCGATCGTTTGTGACACCCTAAAGACAGGTCCTGCATCCTGTAACGTGGACTCAACCGTTCCTTCTTACCCATCTAGGGTCTACCGTTCTAACAGGACTCAGCTCAAGTCCCATCTCTCCCTACCCATCCCCCCTACTTCTGCACAAACCACAGGTGTGGAGACAGGTGTGAGCCAACTGTAGGTGACAGAAGAGAAGCTGCCTTTCAGAAGGACCCGACTCCCTGAGGCCAGGAGCACTCCTGGCTGGGACTTCTCCCTCCGCTGCTGCTCTTACCTTCTTCCGGGAGGAAGCCAGCAACACGGTTTCTTCCCCAGATCACTGGAGCTGCGTAGCTCTGCTTTCTCTACCTCTCAGCATAGATGTCCAGGAAATACCTGGAGTCGTGGGCCTCTAGGAACTCACTAAATGTAGGCAAAGCCACGAGCTATCATTAGAAGATAAAGAAACACATTTCCTCGGGATCAGAAAACAAAAAATGCCAAGTTATCTGAACTCAGTCAAGAGAGTAACACCAGAAGACACAGTGTTCCCGTCCTCCTCCCTTTTTATTACTTACTTACTTACTTATTTATTTAGAGATAGGGATTCCCTACACTGCTAATTTTGATCAGGCTGGTCTTAAAATCACAATTCTCCTGCCTCAGCCTCCCTCAGAAGCTGAGACGACTATAGGTGCACGCACTCTACCCACCCAGTGGGCACCAAGCCATTTATTTATCCACTTGTTTATTTATATTATTTATTTGTTTGTTTGTTTGTTTTTTCAAGACAGGGTTTCCCTGACAGCCCTGGCTGTCCTGGAACTCACCCTGTAGGCTGGCTTTGAACTCAGAGACCCACCTGCCTCTGCCTCCTGAGTGCTGGGATTAAAGGTGTGCACCAGCACTGGCTGGCTTATTTTTTCGACAGGGAAGATTGTAAGCACCCAGAAAGTGTATAACAAACACCTACGCACACCCACGGTGTGCCAAACCCTAACACTCTGCCCCTTTCGTGCCAGGCTTTTTCCCAAGGAAGAATGAATTACAGACTCTGCTCGGGTCCCTGTTTTGCCGCCAACCCTGTCACTCCCACCTGCCCCAAAGCAGCCACATTTCTCACTCTTACACACTTACACACTTACACACTTTTACTACACGGTCGTCAACAGCACAGGGCTTTGCATGTCTTGAAGCTGTCGGAAACGACATCGCCATGCAGGTCCCATTCTGCAGGGTTTTTTTGTTTGTTTGTTTGTTTGTTTTGACTTGAGGAAACACTTTCTAGAGTAATCCTCATCATCACAGGTTAGAGCATTTGCTTCAGCTGCCGCGTGTCAGAGCCTGCTGTCCTAACAGTCAGTGCTGCCCAGGGAACTCATTTTCCAACCGATGGACTTTCAACTGGCCTGCAACTTTCCATTGCAATCTAGAGTCTTCTAACTGTCCCCAAGGGACGGCTCACCCACACCAGGCACTCTTCAAAGCTCTGCAGCAATGCCGCCCTGATTTCCAGTCCCCAGGCAGCATTCCAGTGGCCCCGCCTTGTGTCTCCTCAACTCCTAGTACTGTTTGACATTTCCACTGATCCACTGCGAACGAAAGGTTACCTTTCTGTTACTCTGAAAATGAATTTTTACATGGGAAAAATAAACGCCTAATAAATCCAGCTTAATAGACAAGAGTTTTGAACAGCACCCGGGAATACACTAGCAGACCTCATGTTTTCCTGGAAATCATACTGGGTGGTGGTTGGTGCACGTGAAACAAGATGAGCCATGAGCTGGAACTGTCAGAAGCAAGTACATGGGACGTCATGGCCTCGCTCCCTCTCCTTTGGTTCCCATTTGACATTTTCCACAGTAGGAAGGGGAAGGAAGGAAAGCTGTGGTGTGTGTGTGGAGAGGCCCACCGAGCCTCTCCAGAGAGCATCAGTGATGGCGGCTGGAGGCAGAGCTTCACAGCTGCCAAGCTTCCCTGGAGAAGATGCCTGCAACAGTGACCCAGGAGGCAGGGAACCCCACAAGTCGGGGTGGAGCCTGCTGGTAGGACTCAGGGGCAGGAAAAGGAGGCCAGGAGAAGTTTGGGAGTTGTGTTATGTTTTCATTCAGAAGCTCCCAACGCTAGCAAATTCACATTTCTAGTGACCCTGTACAACCTGGCAGCACCTAACAAAATGTTTTGAGATGTTAAAAAAACAAAAACAAAAGCCCAGAGCTGGAGAGATGGTTCAGCGGTTAAGAGCATGTACTGTCCTTGAGTTTAGTTCCTAGCACCCACATTAGGCAACTTATAACTTACAACTCCATATAACCCCAGCTCCAGGGACTCTGGCACCCACCTCTGCCCTCTATGGGCACCTACACACACACACACACACACACACACACACACACACACACACACACACACACTTAAAAATAAAATGCATTTTGAAAACTACATAAAATAAATCTTAAAAAAAAAAAATCACTGAAGCCAGGCATTGTGACACACACTTTGGGAGGCAGACACAAGCCTGGTCTACATAGTGAGACCCTGTCGAGAGAGAGAGAGAGAGAGAGAGAGAGAGAGAGAAAGAAAGGGAGGGAGGGAGGGAAAGAGAGACAGAGAGGAAGGGCAGGAGGGAGGGAGGGAGGGAGGGAGGGAGAGAGAGAGAAAGGAAGGAAGGAACGCAGGTAGGCAGGTAAAGAACTCAAGTTTTTATTACTAAATTTTTTTTATTTGAAATACAGAACATTTCATTTGTTTTTATATTCTGCAATAAAAAAATCTGTCTGAATTATTATTTAAAACACAGAGGCCAGAGACATGTCTCCACACATAAAAGTGCCTGCCACACAAGCCCCAGAGCCTGAGAGCGATCCCCAGAACCCACAGATATGCTGGGCACATCTGTAATCCCAGCACTCAGGCGGTGGGACAGGAGGCAGACAGGACTCCCGGAAGATCCCGGAAGATCCCGGAAGATCCCGGAAGATCCCGGAAGATCCCGGAAGCTCCCGGGCACCTAGACCTAAGCATACGGAACAGCAGCAGAAGCAGGGGACAGAGCACCCACTCTCTAGAGTCTGTCCTGACTCCACATTTGCACACAAGCCTGTGAAAGCACAAGGATGTACACACATGCACAGCATGTGCACACACACCTGTACACACAAACACACACATACTTATAGATACAAAACTCTGCAGTTGGTGAGGGGCATCTGAGTTTGCTGGGTTCTGGGAGAGGAAGGTGAGTCTGGGATCACTTGGCAAAGACAAGAAGTCAAACTGTCTTCCTCCGAATGGAAATGCAATAATGGTTAAGAACATTGGAATTCTGGGTCCCCCTGGAAGCCGGAACAGGTGGCAAGGAGGGAACCCTTGCCTAAGGAAAGGGGTCCAGGAGCTGGAGTTGGTCAGGGCTCCCAGAAGGTAAAAGATGAGTTGGGAAAACACGAAACAGAACAGCAGGGCATAAGTGAATCACACCCATGCCCCAGCACTGGGGACACTGAGGCAGGAGGACTGCCATGAATTCCAGGCCAGCCTGGGCCACTGAGTGAGACTCTATCTAAAAAACAAACAAACAACCGGAATGGGATCCAAAACCTTTTCCCTGGAAACAAAACTTCCTCCTGCACCAGTAAGAAGCGCACGGGCTCAGCAGGGCTAGGAGGTGGGCAGAGGAACAGCCCTAACCAGAACTCAGTGCCAGGGTTTGGACCGGGGAACAGAGAGACCAGGAGCTGGTGTCTGGAAGCCAGGGCCCCAGCTCTGCAGCAGACGCAGGGCTCTCTGCAGAAGCGCTTCTGTGGCAGCGCCATCCATCACTTCTCCTTGCTAAGCCCTGGGAGCTCCAGTGGCAGATGTCAGCAGAGGCCATCCGGCCGTTTGCCAACAAGCTATGGGCAAAACTGCTTAGCGACATCATTCCTGGGTGCCTCTGCCTAGTGTGGCCTTAGAACGTCTCCCCACCTGGACCCTATGTCTGTCCCAAAGCGGGCAGTCTTCCCATCCCCACCTCCGCCCCTGAAGCAATTATCTACCGACCACAGGGGCTTCCCACCCAAGAGGCCGCCATGAGAAGCAGCACCTCTGTGTGGCTCTACTCCCAGGGAAATGAGGTCATCTGACCCTGTCCTCCCAGACTCTGCACGGGGGAACCTAGATTTCCTGCTTCCCAAACTCATGCTCTTGTGGCTGCTCTCGAGATCCATCCCGAGGCCCCTCCTCCACGCTGCCTCACACTTCCAGGCCACCAACAGAGCCGGCCAGGAGGGTCGCTGGAACCCCAACTCTCCAACAGTGCTCTGTATCTGGAAACTCCTCAGCTGCTCGTTCCTCCTCTGACACCAGAGGACCCATCCAGGCATCTCCACACCCGCCTATGCTCAAAGGCAAGGAGGGGCCTTCTTGCCAGAGTCACTCCTGGGCACACGGTCCTCCTGGGTGGTCAGGCATGGGAACCAACAGGATAAAGGGAGTCTGCCTCCACAGCTAAGCACATGCTCGGAGGCAGACACAGCCACCTCTAGAGGTCACACTGTCACACAGGTTAAAAGGCTTCTGAGGTGACCCATCCTTTATCCCCTGTGAGACTGAATGGGACTTCTACTGCACAGTACTGAAGGCAAAGTCCAGAAGGGCCGGGTGACTGAGCCACACTCACGGATACTGGCAGAAGGAGGGAGGGGCCGGGAAGAACTTCCACTCCCAAGGCCAGGCCTGGCAGCCAGGTGAGCTCACCTGCCTTCTCCGCCTTTCCCAAACATGCACGGGGTTGGTGAGGCTGCTTCCAGACCGGCACGCTGCAGGAAGCTTCCACGGTGTGCACACGCGCCACAACACCGGTCCTTTAGAAAACATGACCTGTGCTTCCCCTCGCTGCAGCCTCTGAATCAGAGGGTGCCTAATTACCAGTGGTTCCCCCCTACTCAGGAAATTCTGCCTCAAATAAAGAAAAAAAAAAAGAGTAAATCCAACCACATGTTCCTGCGTCCCTCTCCGTTTCAGACTCCACACGGACGGAGCAGAGCTGTAACCTGATAGCGGCCCTGTCTGGTTTTGGCTCTTTCAAAACTCGGGGGACCGAACAGGGAAGCAATGGAGGGAACTGCAGTCGTCTGGCTGCCGGTCAAGAGGAGCCCTGAGCAAGGAGAGAGAGAGCCAGGCCTAAAATGGGCTACAAACCAGGGACTGCCCCTCACAGCCTGCACACCAGCAACCAGCATCTCCATCTCTCTCTCTGTCTCTCTCTCTCTCTGTCTCTCTCTCTCTCTGTCTCTCTCTCTCTCTCTCTCTCTCTCTCTCTCTCTCTCTCTCTGTCTCTCTCTCTCTCTCTCTCGTAGTGTCCCCAGCATCCCATGACTTCTGAGCTCAGGTGTCTCTAACCCCACCTCTGGCTAGGAGCCAGCGTCTTAGGTGTGAACTAACAC